AAAAACCTAATTTTCAGTTCAATCGAATAAACTGAGGTATAAACAAAGATCCATCGCTAGTTGTTCTTAATCGCAAGTTCTCTACTAATTATGTCTGCTAGCGCAGTGTTTTACTGCTGAGGATGAATTTCTACCTACTGGAAGCCATGGAGGGTGGCACACCTACCACAAAGCCTACACTGCAAAAGCGCAAAGGATAAGAAAATGCTTCTCTAAGGAAACAACTCTTGAAATTATCTGGAGTGTGTTTTTTTTAACTTTTTGGCATTTTAAGAAGTCTCTGCATCACGGCTGTGTTTTGCATTGGGAATGCCTTTTCCGCTCGAGAGTGTTAGTATTTGCTTCATATTCACGAGACCTTGAATTTGAGCGGCTGATTACCGAGGAGCGATAATCCCTTGAGCAGTATCTATAGCAAGGGATAACATGCGGTAAAGATGCACGAAACTTGTCATTCATTGCAGTGTACACGATGGGGTTGTAGATGACTGAAGCCTTGGCTAGTAAATCCGGGATTTCTGCCTCGCCAGGGGTCAGCATATTAGTACCCCGGATGGTAGCGATGATGCTCACAAAGCAGTATGGGGACCAGCTCAAGACGAAAGCAGCAATCGCCATGGCAATCATGCGTACGAGCTTGATTTGGTGTTTTCGCCTGGTGTTCCGAATTGAAACATTTTCCGATAAGGGCTGCTGTGTACGAATAAAGCTGCAAGGAATTAAAAAAGTTTCGATCAGGTCTAATCAAGTCTGTGCAGTGACCAATAAAGATACGGGTTACTGTGAGTCATAGAAAGGAACGTCCTCCCCCCCGTCCCACCCCACAGAAAAAATGTATTCATTCTCTTCTCTGTTTCCAAATACCCATACTCTATCACATATTAACAACGTTTTGTAAAGAAAAAGGGTTAAGGCCAAAAAATTGATAACCTTACCCCTCTCCCCGATGTAAAAAAAGATCCTTTGCTCCTTCCGCGTCTTGTCCGTCACCTTAATCTTATTTAAGCACAACTCTCTCCCCTCCTCCAGAAAAATAACCTACCTATAAATTCGGTAGTAACAATATATAATGACACTCAGCGGGAGAACAAAGCCGACAAAAACCAACAACGCGTTGTAAGCCACTCCAGCCTTTGTTTCGGGCACCCAGTTCGGACAACAACTGATCCCAGAAGCGCCTGGGACGAACTCGTTCCAGCCAACTAACGGTGGAAACATGGCCAGTATTCCGTACAGCCACGTGAAGGCGATCATTGCTGCCATTTTAGTTCCGGGAATTTTTGTCGTGCAGTTGAGACTCTGAAAGGAAGAGTACATCACAAGGCTCATCATTGTCAAGTTAGCAATGGACGCGATTCCAACCGCTCCGTTGACGAAGCCGGACCACACACAAGTGCTATGAATCAGGAGTCCCGAGGAAACGTTTGCGGCGACAACCACTGGATAGCCAAAGACGATGATGATGATGTCAGCGACCGCTAGGTTGATCATGAGGGGAGAAATGCTTTTATTTCTGTGTTCTCGACATCGTAAAACAGCTATAGTGAGAACATTGCCTACAAAACCAACTGCTAGTATGACGGTCATCACAGCAATGTATGCTACGAATGTCGGATCGTTCAGCTGGAGTCTGGGGACTAATCCATTGTTGTTAGGTGTTTGAGTCGCATTTGACGTTGCTGACGTTGTAGTATCCATATTCTCTCTTGCTCAAGTTTTATGCTTGCTGAGATTCAGCAACTACTTGTCAGATATAGCTGTAATCACTCTACGAGGGATAAAGAAACAAGGGTATACATTGGTTTTGAAATTTAAAAGATATGAAACTGTGACAATCAGTTTTTCTAGTATACAGTGTACTCAAAGAATTTCTCTAGTTACTACTAATTTCCTTGAAAGCTAAGAAAACTGGCACCTTTAAAAGCGGGAAACCCCTATAGCTTGATCTTAATTGAATGACAGTGACTACAAGTCATAATTATAGTTAATTCACAAAAGGAAATGCCTATAATTTTAAAATAATAATAATTAATAATATACGATAATAACAATTGAAACGTTAATGCTTAAATCCGTACGGACAGCGTATTCCCCTAATGATCAAAGATCAAGCCTCCGTCCTTTGAAGTTTTTTACGTGCAAATTTGATGACAATCACTGTGACCATACAACTCACTGCGCAACATTAAAGTTAAATAGCCCCCTCCCCACCTCCCCACCTCCGGCAGGACTCCCCCATAATGCTGAAGGGTATTCTGCAATTTCGTATTGGGCACGGCTTAAATTTGTGTTCACCCAGCGTGCATGATATCAATCGATAACCGGTTATGACTAACATAATCTCTCATAAATGATATAGTTCAATCATAAAACAGTTGGTTAACACATTTTTTCCTGTCATTTTTACCTCACTAACCTGGAAGGAACCGATATAAACCATGAGCAAATTTTAAATTTGTAGCACCCTAGGCGGTATCAATCGACAAATTTTACCCGCGCAAATGTCACTACACAAGGAACACCTCTCGTTTTTATAACTTGGTAGACAAGGTAGTTTCCCTCGAGAGTCTCATACAAGAGAAGGTGTCACTGACTGTATGATCGAAAAACAGGAACTGAAATACTTCTTACCTGCGATATGACTCGAAGGAAGTCGCGTCGACAAGCGAGCAGTCCTCAAGATTTTCTCTTCTAGTAGAATCGTAGTGTTTACATGAATAAAGAAGATCTTACTGAAAGCCAAGCAAGTTAGTCACACGATATCTTAGCATAAACTTATTTGAGTCAGGGAGTCTCGTGGAAAACAACACTGAGTTGAGTTAGTCACAAGATTTGCTTGAATGAAGAAATCCTGGTGGAAAACAAGGTAACTTAGTCACGGGATTTCCTGTATTAATATAAAGGCACAGTTTATTTGAATAGGGCAAATTTCGTGGAAAACAGATTGAGTTACTCACGAGACTCTTCTACTAGTATAAAGGCATTTTACTGTTGGAATGTTCGTCAGGAGATTTCCGCTCTTTTGCAAGGCTTTGTTTATCTGGATAAAGGAAAACTCTTGAAAAACCTGGCGGCTAAAGATATTTCCTCTATCTGGATAAACACAGCGCTTGTTGAGTAAAAGGTTTTGGACAGTAATTCACAAGGTTCTCTATCAGTTCACGTGTTTATCAACCTCTTTCCCAGGGTCTCTCTCTTAATCTCGTGGCAAGCTTGGTAACCGCGCACAGTTAAGTAATGAACACCGGCAAGACGTGAAGCATAGCACGCGTACTCGCAAGAGGAGAGAGTTGACATGTGGTTCGAGCGGTTCACCTCTTTCTCTATTCTTCTATTCTACTTCTCTTCTCAGAGTCGGCTTGTATCAAGTGCTTTGAGAGGTAAGTTGTAAACTACAAGCGAGAAATCAGAACTGGAGGTAATCTGGCGTCAGGTTTCACGACTAAAACAGTCACCTCTTTAGCTACTGGCAGCTTTTGGATCACGTTTTCTCTTCTCGCAAAACAAACAAGGTTTCGTTGAATGAAAAAGTAAATTATTTGAAGAAGGTCAACACTGTCATTCGTCTGTCCATGGTTATTTTAACGATGAATTTTATTTAGCCCTGTTTGTGTGGATTATTTTGAACAGGAATAGTGATATTGTTGTCGCGATATCGACCGACCCCCGCAGTCGTTGCTGGTGCGAGTTTTTTGTTGAAGAGAAACTGCATTTATAGAATGCAGGTTTCCTTTGGCCTAGCTCATATATGCTAGTTCTTTGTCGTGTAAATTTTGTACGTAGTATAGTGCTTCGTTTATCTTGATTTTGTCGAGAGTTTTTTTGGAATGAGAGTTCGATTTGCCACGGCTCGAAAAAATGTTAAATTCCGCCTTGCTCTTCGTAAAAAACATTAATGTTGCTTGCCTTGGACAAGGCTTACTTAACTTTTGTTTATTTAGTTGTCAGAATACTTGCCTGATCCCTTGCACATCGGGCAAGTAAGAATGAAAAGTTACTTGACTGGACGGCACTATTTTCCGAGCCCGGATTGTTTTAAGAATAAATAAATTTTTAAAAATGCTATTGTCTCTCTCAGTAAACTTAGGTAAGCTTTAGATGTACCTTTGCTGAGACTTTAAAATTAAAATAGAGCAGGCCCAGCGTGGAACAGACAGGTAGCGGTTTGCTCTCCCTCCTTGAAGCTTTGGGTTTTCCGTGCACGTATTAGACTGTATGACAGTGGAGACGTCAATAATTGGGAAATACATTCAGATGCTAATTAATAAACGTAAACGTGGTCAATATTGTACGTTTTATACGCCCCTGGAGGCAAAATGTTCTGCACCCATGGCTACAAAATTCATTTCTGGGTGGGTTGCTCGTTGGTTCTTTTGAATATTTAGAAGAAAGTTGGTTTTTCTTGAGGGAATTAGAGAATAAATTAAAGGGTTATTTCTTCAGGCTGGACCGGTTAATTTTATTATCTGAATGGGAACTTGAGTTTGGTTGAAATTGCACATGAAAACAAAGTCTTGGGTTAATTTTGGAGCTGTTAAGGTCAGAAAAGTTAATCAGTATTACATCCTTGAGATAATGGGCCAATTACATTTCTCATGGCAGCCAGCATCTAAATATGCCATGTCTTATTCTTTCTTTTTTTTGTTAACTTGAAGTGTACTTAGCAAAGAAAATGTTCCCCCAAAATAACTAAACTTGGTTTTGCCTTCCATTATTTGGTACAGCTTACAATGTACACTACATGTACAGTCAAGTCCAGTCCAAGATTATGAATACAACCATGGTTCCCAGCAGCTATATATGACCATTATCCCTTTGTCAAATAGATGTATTTGTTTATCATGAGAGGTTGCTATTTGTAGGTGAATTGTATTGCTTGCAAACGTGAATTTGACACAGTGGCAAGCTGCTCAAACCTTCTTACCCTTGTGAGCGCTTGAATTATTAATGGAACCACTGTACATTTATTTTTCTTGAAAAATTGTATAGATTTTTGTTATGACAGTGTATGACTGAAAGAGAAGTTTTAATTGGCAGTACCCTACAAATGAAAGTTGTTTCCCTGTAGGAATAACGAATAAAAACAGATGGAGTCGTTTAACATGTAAATATCAACCTGTATTTAATATTTTTTATTACATATACACAAACACGTACAGCATTGTGTTAAATGATATGAAGGCCATTCAGTCTTTCACAATTGGGATAATACAAGAAAAAAATAGACACAGTTTCAACGTAGTAATAGGCCCTTTGCATGTCCAGTCACATAACCATGTCAAACATGAAAAATGGTTGTGGTACAATTATTTTGAAGCTTCTGGCATATTAGTGCAAGATTTCAGGACAGTTTGATAGTTTGAAAATTGTAAATGATATGTATACTGGCCAACAAGCTTGCCATTCATCGTTTTCCTTTCAAGTCTTGATAATCATTTAAACCTTTAACCATAGCATCTCAGGAGCCTTGTCTTATGAACATTTAAATTCTTATGATTCACAAGGTCATGTGATATGGTCTTGCAAAGAGTCTGTTGAATAACATTCACATGTAAATGTACATGTAAGGTTGATTTAACTGCAGTTTTACACAGTGATTAAGATTCCTTCAGGAACAAACATCTTTTATCCTTTCTCTCTCGCAGAATGCAACAGACCTCTGGGTTTGCAAGATGGAAGAATTTTAAATTCTCAACTGTCATCTCCATCACACTTTGAACACCTTTACATTGGAAATGGAAAAAACGTGAATCTGAAAGCTGAGTTTGCACGTTTGAACAATTCCTTAGCTTGGTGTTCACCTTCCACCAAGAATTCTGACAGCACTTTCATTGAAATAGACTTGCATCAACAAGTGAATATCAGTGGTATTGCAACTCAAGGATTCATGGGCATAAATGCTTATTATGTGAAACAGTATAAAGTGGCCTACAGCAAGGATAGAATCACATGGAAGTTATCAAAAAAGGTAACTCAACACTGTCAATATTTTACTAATTAATGTTCTAGTTTCAAAGAGGCTGTGCAGGTTTCACTCTTGTTCATGTATGTATATGTACATTGTTAATTCTGTTAATTAAGGCCATACGCCTTATTCATAAATGGCAGACGTGCAGTTGAGACCTGAGCCAAGTTCACCTAGACGAGGCTTAGGAGGCATTGCAAGAAACATGGCGTCGAAGTTAAACATCCACCGTTGCGTACCATTGTACACACATAGAGGGCGTGTTGGACCAAAAGGAGAACAAATTGGATTCTTTAAGTTTCCAGACGAAGAGGAAGTGAAGAAATGATGGATACATGCTATATGTAGAGATGTTGGTAGATTTTTTCGCATCTCCGGGGCATCAAAAGTGTGTTCGTTACATTTCAAGCTTAGTGACATATCAAAGGGTCTTGGTGAAAAATGTCTCTGAAGACAAGAGCAGTTCTGTCGATATCTGCTTGGAAACAAACTTCATCACGAAAGCAGCCGCCCCCTACCAAAAGGCCTTATCAACGACAGGGAAAAGAGAGGAAATCTGTCCCAGAAAGAGTCTGTTTTCAGTGTCTTTGGAGCCCAGCAAAACACCTGAAGCAGCAAACGATATTCCTGAAACAGGTACTAACGAAACCACTATTTTAGGAGTCGCCAGTACCAGAAAAAGATCTTAATGGGACCGTCAAACAATTAAGGCTACTTGGAAAAAAATGCGCAGATCTTGAAAACGCAGTTGCAGATCTGGAAGACAAAATTCAAGCGCTTCAGTCAAACGTCTTCTCACTTGGTTGGTTTACCTCTGATGAGGCATTGTTGTTTTATACAGGCTTTCCTAACTACAAAGCATTCTTGGCATCCTTTGAATATTTAGATCCGGGAGATAATGGAGAAAATGTCAGATACTGGTTGTCAGGTGAAAATGAGATACCCTCAGAACACTGTGTCTCCACCTCAGTTAGGTGTAAAGAGGGGTAGACCAAGATCACTCAAACTACAAGAAGAATTTTTTCTCACTTTGTGTCGCTTGAGACAGAGATTTGCAGAAACCCACCTTTCACACCTCTTTAATGTTTCTCAGGCAACTGTTAGTAGGATTGTTATTAGTTGGATCAATTTTATGTATCTTTGATTTGGAGTGCTTAACATTTGGCCATCAAGAGAAGCTGTCAACAGAACACTACCTGAAGACTTCAGGAAGGCATATCCCATTACAAGAGTTATTATTGATTGTAAGGAAGTGAAGTGTGCAATGCCCGGTAGCTTGTTGCTGAATAGTGAGTTGTTCAGTGCCTACAAGAATCATACTACACTAAATAGGCCTGTAGGAATTTCTCCATCTGGTGCTATCACTTTCATAAGCCAACTGTATACAGGAAGTATATCAGACAGAGAAATTGTAGAAAGGTCAGGCATGCTTGACCTGCCATTTAATGAAGGAGATTCCGTGATGGCAGATAAAGGTTTTACTATAAGTGATATCTTACCTTTAGGTGTGTCTTTGAATATTCCACCATTCTTGGGAACATCCACACAAATGCCCCCGGAGGATGTTGTGAGACCTCAGGAGATTGCAGGACTGTGGATCCATGTTGAACGGGCAATTAATAAAAAAAGTTTTCATATATGGGATAGCGTTATCCCACTGAATCTCTTTGGCATTGCAAATCAAATGTGGCCCGTTTGCGCATTTCTTCGCAACATTCAAGACCTTATCTTAACAAGATGACACAACAGAAAGCTTTAGACAACTGATTTGTAATTTTTATAAAGTTTAACGTTTTGGCTAAACAAGGATGTGTTGTAGTAATATTTACTATCTAGGTCTCAGGAGCTTTTTATTTTCTTTCAGTGAAATACACAAACACTGAAATAATTATGATACCAGTGAAGGACTGGCCAAAAATTACAGGGGTGGATCTTAGCACATGACCTAACCCCTTACCTTTGGAATAAAAGAAACTGACTGACACCAAAATACAGGTCAGAAATTAGATGACCTCCTCCCTGCATTGGAAAAGGAGATGACCCACCCCTTATGTGTAGTGAAAAATTACACAGCCCACCCCATTTTGAAGGATCAAAGAAGTAATGACCCACTCCAGTATGCCTTTTGACCAGCCCTGTAAAAATGAAAACTGAGTGGTTTGTGATTTCGATATAGACTTACAATTTTACACTGTCTTTGTGAGCTTCAAATCTATTAGATTTACACCTTAGGATATTTATCAAATCACTCTGAGATTTTGTGCACTAAATGTTTGATTATGATGCTGTTGTAGAATGACAAACCACCACAGCTTCTGTACATGATGGTGCAAATTCAGCTGCAACATACTTAATGAAATGTGTGAAATAATATTGCCAAAGCTTCTCTTGAAGCTCAACCCAGTAACCTCTGTCAAAGGCAATTCTTTCAATTGACATTCCTTTTTTAGTGTAAACAACAAAATCACACCATTGTGCACCAGTAGAGCCCATTTGGCCCTGAACTTGGGCACAGACAGCATGGGTTCTTTTCAGCTTGCACATGTTCCCAACCCTCTCACCAAAAAACTTAGGGTCTGAGCAGGCATCTACGGGACTCACTTGAAACTTTGTTTCTGGGCACTTGACTTCAAGTAGTCCAAAGGGATCTTCACGATTGGGGTCTATTACCTTTCCACCCGGAGAACATCCCAGAATTGGAGAATTAGTGCATACAACAAATCCACTTTTAAAAACATGTACTGGTGTTTTTTGACTGTGCATGTATTTGTGATACCTGTCAATTACTACTGGCTCATATTTAATCCCATGAGCTGTGTGTCTAGAGTGGAATGTCTTTGGACACATGATTTCTTGAGCAAATTTATCATGACTGCATTGTCTGTGAGAAATCAGATGAAACTGAGATGCTGTAAAATGGTACTTTTGCTCAAGCTGCCACCTTTAAGAATGTGACTGATCCCTAGTCTCCTCAATGGTATTGACAGTTTCCTCATCAATGCATTGTGATTCATACAAGTTCTTCTCTACATCTGTTAGCTGATTGTTTTGAACTGTAGGCAGTTCACAATCTCTTAAGGGAAACCTGGGATAAGTTAATGGCTGGTTAGTTGTCCTCCTCCGAGACACAGAGGAAATATCAACACAGTCATTTAAGTTGGACTCTATGTGGGTTAGCTGGTAGCTTACACTGGACTATGCCCGAATCTTGTTTCTTTCAGATGTGTTTCACTCCCAAGATCATCAATTTGAGCAAGACCCATTTGAGGGTTTATATCTCTTTGACTGCCTGCTTGAATTTTTGCTCCTCTGCACTGTTGTACATTGCGTTATTTCTTGCCTCATGAAGGAGAGAATGAATCCCTTCGTTTCCACTTTTTGTATCCTCCAGTTTGGTTTTTGAGACAACCACATCCGTAACAGGCTGCATATAGATGGTTTCACCTCAACCTTTTTGATGCCAAGTTTGAAGTTTTGAGGTGCATGCTTCCTCTGGGACCTGATCAGCTTCATTTTCTAGGTCTTTAGTATTTTGGGACCCATATAGACTAAATTTACAAGCCTTCAGCTTGTGTGCGAATGGAACTATATGGTTGCACTAATTGTAAGTCATACATGTAGTATGTGGACTTTTACTTTTGATTTGCTTCTTTCCTCTATCAGTTTCTTTGGATTTTTAATGCCCCAGGGCAAAATGAAGTTTTCCCCAATTTCCTTTAGTTAAACACTAAAATGACACTATCAGGGCTGTGCTCTAGAAGTGTCCGGGTGCAACAGGCACCTACATGTACCTATTACCTTTAGGTGACTGAAAAAACTTTTTCATAAAATTATAAACTCAAGTGCTGAGCACCCAGAATTTCGTAGTAGCAGGGAATCTAACAGGATGCGGTGGTGCGGATCCTCATAGTCTGCTAACGTCCGCATCCTCTGCAAAATCAGAGTTTTTTTTCAGCATAAAACAGAAAAAAGTGATTCATATTTAGTGACAAAGCAGCAGCTTTGTTGCTAACATCCCCCCAAGTAAATATTCCTGAGAGATTATTTTGAAGTGGTTTCTCTACTAAAACAGACGAAAACAGACCATTTTGTAACAAATTTTTACCCTCCAGGCATTCCAACTGACTATAGGCAAAGAGCTGGGAAACTAGTTTTTCATCGCTTTATGTAGTGCCTGGTTACTAAGTTACGGATGTTCCAAGAACACAACAACTGATTCTTTATGCACAATTCCACGGAAAACCTGTGTTAAGTGAGGAAATACCTGTTAAGAAATACTAGAAACAGATCAAGCATAATGTCAAAGTTGGCAGGAATGATGTTTTATAAGTTAATATTCTATTAAAGAGCTCACTTTGAAGTGCTTTTCCTTTCACTGATGTTCAGTACATTGGAAAGGCATTATTATCAATTTTGTTAACTGTTGAAATTTCTGCATAATCCAGAGTGTGTTTTTCGCATCATCATCATCAGTCCTCATCGCGCCATCGGACGCATAATGTGTTTTCTGCATAATTGAGGGATTTTTCTGCATTTTCCCCCTGAAAATTTCCGTGTAATTTGTTTTTTTTTCCTGCACCATGTCAGATGGCATGTAGTTACGTAGGAACCTTTGGACTGCTTATAATTTTTCTTCGACCACAGTCTTGTACTATTTTTGCTTTGTTTTGATTTCTTTTTCATGTTTGAACAAACAACCCAAAACTGTTGTTGCAGAGATAGTACATACAACTTCAAAAATGACCTGCAAAATACTTTGAATGTTTGCATCTGGAGTCACATGGCAACAAGAAATTATGACAGTGAGGATGGATCCTGTGCTGTTGAAACTGAAGAAAAACACTCAACCTTTTTCCTCCTTAGAACCAAGAGTTCGTTGAAGTTGATGTATATGAAGTTAGAGCTACAGAAAAAGAAGAGAATGGAACTCTAATTAAACTGCTTATTATTTCATGTTTGTTTTCAAATGTTATACGTTATGATCAATACCTTTTTAGTTACCCTGCATATTGGGAAATCACACCTCAACTTTTAGCTGCACTCTACCACTCAGTTTGAAACTACAGTGTGTACTGCATGCATAACATGATTTTAAAATAATTTGTGTTATTTTCAGTGACAACGGATGCAAATCCTGAGACACCTGTTGTTACTACACCAACTGTTACTGTTCCCAGTACAACAGTGCGTGCCCTTCAAAGCACTGTTACATCAAGTTCAGTTGTGACCCCTACTCCAAGTGAAGAAATTACAACTGCCTCCAAAGAGTCAGGTATTTGTGAAGAAGAGATTTTTAAAACTGTTTGTCACAATTAAGGTATCAAATATAGTTGAAAGAATATTTTTGTCAGTTTATAGAAGTTTCCTTATGTTCTGCTGTACAGTATACATATTGGTTATTGACCAAGTGAGAGGCCAAGTTGGCAGGATATTAGCCAAGTTCGTTTTTTGGCATGTTCATGGACCTAGATGCATTCGAGGCCCATAAAAATGGAATGAGGCCAATATCCAGCCATCTTGACTGAGCAAACTTGCTAAATATAGAATTAATTATATGACTGCGGAGAAATTTTTTCTTGTGAGACTTGGCATGTGCTCCCCAGAAGTAAGGTCTTTTCAGGCACTACATGTGTCAAAGTGGTAGAAGAAACAAGGTCTCTTTTTGTACACTTATGTGTATGTTCATGACCATAATATTTGTGAACATTGACAACTAAGGAGAATGGATCTCTCTAGTCTGTTTTAGTTTTTTTTTTTATTGTTGCTTAAGTTGCTGGCAGAAGAAGTTTTATTACATGAGTGAAAGTAATGAGCATGCAAGATGAAAAATGTTTGTTTCGTTATGATACTAAAATGTTCTCTTTTCAGGTTCTGTCAAAACTGCAATCCCTACTCTTCACAGTGGTACAACAAAGGCCACTACAAAAGCCATAAACAATGTTGTCAATACTGATAATAAGATGAAGGAACCACATCCTACCACTTCAGTTAAAGTTCCCTGGTCTGTGCCATCTGATGAACCAGTTGTAGCAGCACAAACAGATCAAGATGTGGATGAGGATTACTTCCTAGATGACAATCCTGTTCGTTTATCTACCACTTCAATTGTGGTACTTTCAGTGACTTCTGTATTTGTGGTCGTTGTGATGGTGCCTGTCGTTATGTTTGTGATTTTTCTTCACCAACGGAAACAGAAAAGGTGAGATAACAAAACAAGGACTCTGTCAGTGTGTCGTGACAATTTTATAGCTGTTAGTATCAATGTATTTTTTCTTTACGCACATGTACTATTTAATATGTGTCCTAATAAGCCTTGTATCATTCTTTCATCATTGAGATGTTGACATACTCTAAATGTCCTGGGTAGTTGACATACATAGTAATTTGTGGTAATTGGTCAAAAAAGGATTTATTATATGGGATAAAGAACAGTAAAAAGTGATCTTCGTACTCTTGGGGCACAGTACACAATCCCAAGGGTTGCCAATCACAGGACAGGATTTAGTTCATAACAAGTACTGTTTTAAGTTGCCTAGAATATGTTGACAGTTACAAGATTTTTTGTGAAAAAGGTGATTGTTGTTCATCAGGGAAGAATACAACAACATATTAAAGTTAATTATTTGTCCTATGACGTAAAGATGACTACATCTACGTCCACCTTTATCAGTTGATGAGGTCAACTGATAGACTGGCAATAAACAGTTGAAACATTGCAGTCTGCATCTCAAGTGACAACATTGTGATGTGCACAGATGGTATACTTAAAAGTTTTAAGATTGTTGATTACAATGCACCAGTGTACAGTTTACATGCAGTTGTCAGTAGCAATGTTTGCATGGACATGCATTAATTCTTTTTACCAGTACAGCATAAATATTTATCTGTGCTCCCTGTAAACCCTCCATTTCATTGCAGATCGCATACACATAACTCTACTGATGTTGTTTTATTCAATCCCTGCTTCAGATGTTCTTTTCCAGATAAGGGTGATGGAATTCCACTTCGTACTGTTGTGATTGATGAGAATCTTTGCAGCCAAGAGTTTTAGTAAGTAGACATTTAAATGTTTTGTAACGTGTAGAAAAGGAGTGTTTTTGTAGCAACACATCTGGTGATCACGTCAGAATAAAATCAACAACTACATGTACAGTGTAAATCTAATAAATCAGCACCAAAGAGACATGCCTAAGACACTTGCCAAAGTTCCCGCAGAATAAACTTTAGAAGTAAGTTTTTTAAGTGAATAGAATTTCTGTAAAGTTCCAGATCATAGACAAATCCCTAACAGAGGTGATCCCTCAAATGTAATATCTTTTTGTGGTTCCTAGTAAAATCCCAACAGTAGCAGAAAAGCAATAATTGTCACCCTCTAATTGTTGATTCACACCTCAACAACTATTTACATACAGTAGGTGATTTTCTGTATGAACTAGCAAGCACAGCATGAAAGTTAAAAAGGAATTGAAATAACATGCTTGCCAGGGCTTGAAAACAACTTGAATTCCAGCTTGCCTTCAGGATCTCTCCAATAGTGCTTGCCCTGGGCAAGTGCTAGTCTGCTCTTTTACTGATTTAGTTGGTAGACGACTTGCCTGATTCCGGCAAGTGAGAATGAAATGTTACTTGCCCGAAGGGAAAATCTACTCGTCTGGGATGACCACACAGCACTTTCTTCGAGCCCTGTGCTTGCACATGAAATAATGAGCTGCCAGGGCAACCAACAATTTTGAGACTTCTAGCTAGTCACGAAAAACCAGTAATATTTAACACAGTATTACTTTAAACATGTAGTAAGTCAGAAGCCATGCAGCACACTTTATCTACAGTGGAATTATTAACAAGTCTCAGATCTTTGGTTTTGATTGTTTGTTGGTTTCTCTCTTTAGTGATACCTACAAATATGGTGTGCCCACAGGGAAATGCAATGCAGTTGATTTCAACTTTCTGAATCAAGGTGCTGTGTAAAACAAGGAGCAGGTTATGGATGTTATGAACTGCACTTCTAGTGGTTTGCCTGGTGGACAGCTACAATGTGTATGTGTTCATGTACAACAAGTGATAGTCTTCTTTTGTGTGCTAAAATGCAATGGAAACAATCTGTTCCATGCACTGTCCCAGCGTAGGCATGCTTAAAGCAAATTATAATAATGAGTTGTTATATATTATTAAGCAAGACTTTCTAAATGACTATTTTCTTTATTAATTTATACAGTTATAATTAGTTAAATACTAATTAATTGATGTGATCATCAGGAAAGGGAAAACATTTTGGTCATTTTTACAGTTGCAGATGTATTAAAACACTTCTGAAAGAATGAGGTGCATTGTGCAGGTCCAGAGAATATCCGTACCCCCCTCCCCACAGATGGGATTTTAGGAAAAATCCCTTCTGTGGGGGAGGTATGGATATTTTCTAGAACTACGCATTGTAACTCAAACAGCTGGGGATAGACTTGCCGACATATTTACTTTGGAGAA